CGAGAAAATCAGAAACTGCACTATTTAGAACATTCACAAACTTATTCCAGTCATTCAAATTTCAATAAAAGCTTTGAAATGTTCTAGAACAGTCGAAGTCTTGTCGTTAATGTTGTTAGCAGTTTTCTCCGTTGCTAAGGAACCCTAGAAAATGAGTCTGATACCTGTCGTCCTTAGTTGCTAAGGCTTTTGATGTGCAAGTACAGAGCCTCAAAACGTCGGTTTAAGACTTACAATCACTATTCTCTTTCGAAAATATATGTGAGTTGCACAAAACAGGAAGTTCAACTAGAAGAAAACCATACTATGGGGTATTTGATTTCAGTCTGAATTTAGAATAAAAGAAGGCACCCAATTTCAAACTGAAATCGGGGAACAGGTGAACTTTAGAATAACACACAGATATATATGAATGATTTGCATGAACATTGCACGGTTGGTTGACGGAGAATGTTTTGTTAATAAAAGATATTCTGGTCAACATATTTTAAATATCTTTTTATTATTTTGTTGGCTTAGTAACAGTGATTCACTTATGACAAAGTGAACTTTCCAACTCAAATGAATACTGAGAGATACATCGAAGAAAACCAAAAACAACTGTTTTTAGCTTCACATAGAAAAAGAGCCAATATTTTTCTCCCATTTATTTTACTCTGTTTTAGAAGTTTTCTAGAGTTTCTTGTCGCTGGAAAAGCAGGCTTTCAGAATATGCATTTTGAATTAAAAAAAATAAAATAAGGTTTGGATCTGATTTTATCGAGAATCTCAGTGTCAACACACATTTAGCAAATTTTGTTCACCGAGATTAGAACTAAGTTCATATGCTAACGATGAATCCTAAAATGTTTGTAAGCATACAGAAAGATGGAGAATACCAAGTTCTGCATTTTGGCAGAAAAAGAGAATTTTTAACGCTTTTTATTCAATTAGAAATCGAGATGAAACATGTATTAAATATGTTTTTTCGTACAAAATGTCCGTCGAGATTTCGAAAATTGTTTAGTTCATAATTTCAGAAGAGGTTGTCCGTTTAAGCCTCAAATCTCACGTTGTTTTCAATTCTGCCAAGAATAGGTGCTACAAATTTGAACTTTCAAGCTTTCATTGTCGCAGAGAAAACCTAATTTTACATCATGTGTGTGGATGTGGGCGGGTGTCGGTAGATGTATGGGTTTTGGTGTCAGTGCGGATGTCGGCGTTGGTATCGATATTTATATATTCATGTGCATCCCCACCCACACTAACCCCCACATCTGCACTCACATCTACAACCACAACTACAATCATCCACATTCATATCCACAACTAGAACCACTCACACCCACAATCACCCATACCAGTACCCACACCCTCTATTTGGGTAAGTCAAGATTTTCTATAACGTTTAATGAAAAATATTCAGACTTGAGGAAAATACAATATGAAATCGATAATGTCTTTCTAGTGTTCTAAAATAGATTTGTCCATATCAATAAATCATGTAAAAAAAATTCTAAAAACTAATTACAGATTTTAATTGATCGAACATGATTGAAAATCTTTCATAAAACCATACAAACTACTGATAATTTATTTCTTAATTGTAACTTGTCGATGATAATATTAACAATAAAGATTAGACAGAACATTTTTCTGTGCAAGTTAAACGAAATAAAAGGCTGATTTTTTCATGTCGTCAATAGCAAACCGTAATTAATTGAATATTTCAATGTAAATAATTATTTTATGAAATAAATATCAATTATATTAGAAAATATTCTTTAAAAGAATTTCTTTTTATGAAATTCGTTTTTTTTTATTTATTTTTTTCGAAAAAAGAAAAAGCAATTAACGATATAAAACGAAATGAATCATTATATATCTTCTTGTTTATTTTCTTGTTATTGAATTGTCAATGATTCAGATGTCCATTTGGGATAAATATGTTTATAGAGATTCATAAATACAGTATCTTGTGATTTAAGAATTCCATGAAATAGACATTTCATATGACCATGTGTACCTATATATTAAAAGTAAATTTTATTTCTTAATAATTAATTAATAAATAAGAATAAATGGGTGATTCCATGGGGTTTATACCACTTTTTGGAAGTGGTCTTGGATTTTCATTTTCGTCTTCTAATTCACCCGAAGACAGTCTGAAAAGCATCCAGCAAAAAAAAAATTACAAACTTGTCCAATGAATAGTGAGCACCCGTGGACAACACGAGGTACATGTACAATTTTTTTATAGTGAGATTTTGCTCCATATATGAGCTAGTCCATATAAACCACGACCGATCTTACTCCATCGAGGTCGTCAGGTTTTGATCAATTTAGGAT